GGGGTTTGGGGTTTAGGGTCTAGCCGTTCACTCCCCGAAGAAATCATGTCTGTGTTTTTCCTCTACAAGCTGCGTCCGCTAGTGGAGCTCGGGAGGCTCACAGTCGAAGCCGTGAATTCAAATCATCCTGAACCCCTGAGGTCTAAGCCCTGAGCCCTCAAACCCTTAACCATGCAACCCAAAACCCGAACTAAAACCCGAACTCTTATCCCGAAACCCAGAAACTTAACTTCCTATAGCACTCTGCAAGGACCCCTTACATGAAGCCGTAAAGGACCTCTTGCCGAAACCGTGCGCATGAGATGGGCCTGCCGGGTGCTCGCCAGAGTCATGTTTGGCCTTTGCTGGCCTGGCGGTCGAGGCGAGAATGCATAGGTTTAGGGTTTAGGGTTTAGGGTTTAGGGTTTAGTGCGTCTAGGGAATGTTTAGGGTTTAAGGTTGGGATGCATAATGTAGGCTTTCTGCAGTTCGTTTTTGTTAGAAAAGTGTAATTTTGATGTTTTTTATGTTTGAAGGGGGCCGGCTATTTAAGAAGAGGGTGTTACTTATGGGAGCCTAAGTGGTTACAGGCTCTGTTCCTGAGGGTTCCCTGTTATGGTTGTTATACTGCTTTTACCCCGCAGCCCCCATTCTGATTATTCGGGCCCCTACAGTGTTGTGATTTGGGGGGCTAGTGTTTAGCAAGGGGCCTAGTAAATCAAGGGACTAAAGGAGGGACCTTAAAGGGACCCTTGGGGTTATATAGGGGCTTCATGAGACTGTTTCAGGGTTATATAAGAAATATATTGGGTCTTAGGATTAGGGGTCCCTTCTAGGGGTCCTCCTATTGTCCCTTGGGTAAAGGGCTTCATAGGTCGACTGTAGGGTTTACCCGCAGGTTCACTATGATGTTTTATAGGGTGCATTTACCTATGACAGAGGCACGTTGCGCCCGAACTTAGAAGCAACCTTCTACCGCAACGCTATAGTATCTACATGTACATCTAGCCCACCTAGGTGTGCAAGATTTTGCCATCTAGCTTTTTGCAGTGCTCATGCCACTCTTAACCCTAAAACCTAGACCCTAAACCCCTAAACCCCTACACCCTCAACCCTAAAAGTATCCTAAACCTGTTTGGTATCTTGCAGGTTCCGATACTTCTTGGTTGCGACCTTGCAGTTGGAAAACGTGTTTACACGGTTCGCCAAAAATATACTTCATGAGGTTTAGGGTTCAGGGCTCAGTCACGGTGACTGTAGGGTTTAGGGTTCAGGGTTTAGGGTTTGGGGTTTGGGGTTTAGGGTTGGGAAAGTCCTGCAGCTTGATGTCGGCTGTTGCTGTTTAACATTCCTGGCCTGAACTTGTACAAATCTCATTCCCCAACCTCGTGAACCTCCACAACCACGAAATCCCTGAACTGCAAAACTAAAACTTTAAGCCAAATGTCTAAACCTAAGGCTACAGCCCTAAAGCCCTAACGTTGTAAGACCCTAAGGCCCTAAAGCCCTAAACCCAAACCCAAACGAAACTGTCCTAAACCCCATAAACCATAAACCCTAAACC